TGTTTCCGGCGCTACAACCACCTCCGCCGGCTACAGTCGGAGTTTCCCCGGTTTGTTCCCCCGGCATGAGTTTTAGATCCACACACACCTCAAAAAACCTGAACTTTTTTTATTACACAATTAAGATATTGGCAAAAATTTGTCGCCGACGAGAAGTTACGACAGATGAAAGAGAAACTGATTGGTTTTTTACAAATGGAAAGAGGCTTATCGTTGTTGTCGGAAGGAAGTTGGAATCATGAGAGATCCAAAACACACAAAAAAAAAAACTACACCTTAGAAGAGAAAGGAGAAATCTTTCATTTTCATATTCTTCTTCTCACAAGACCCATTAAACCAAATCCAAAACCACAAAAAGTTTCTCTCTCTAAACTAACCAACCAAAGGGATTGACACAATCTAGAAGACGGACACAACACACGTTGATCTCGAAGCTAGAGAGAGAGAGAGATTGTGTGTTAGAAGTTCTAGAATGTTCTGGGAGAGAGAGACGGATTTGATAAGAAAGAGAGGGAGAGACAGATCGGAAGTTCCAGAAGGAGAAAAAGGAGGATTAATTTTTTTGAAGAAAATAGGATCGAGGAAGAAAAGGGTAGAATTGGAACAAAAAATTATGGGGTCCACAAGAAGGAAAGAGTATAGGAATGTGCGAGAAGAGCGTATGTGGCTTTCCTCTTTTTCCAGAAGTTTCTTCTTCTTCTTCACTTTTTTGTCTTTTCCCTTTATGACCTTTGTTGATAATGTTGATCTAATTAATGTAAGTGCGAATAAGGTTAATATATTTTGTAAGTTGACTCTTTTTTTAATGAAAAATTCAGTGACTTTTTTTGGAACTGAAAAGAGTAATTGCACTAAAAACAATATTTTTGTTATATATTTGTAAAATCAAGAACATATGAGTATCATATTTTACGTATATTTGCTAAGTTTAGCTATTGATTTGGTTAAGATTTAAAATTTGAAAACAATATAGAATATAGCATGTCAAGCTAGAAAATACTTAACTATCATATAGTATTAATCGGGGTTTTTTTTTTACTTATTTGTGAAAATCTACGAAAACTCAAAAATATTTTTTTTGTTGCACAAAAAAAAAACTCAAAAAATATCATCTACAATATGTTTTCAAAGTCAAAAGTTTGAATTGTATACTTAACATGTATAGATTTCCTATCTTGAACAAAAACTAGAAAATGAATCTGTTGACTAACAAATTTTCCTTATTATCATCACCACCAAACATTTAACTTTTTTATTTGGATTAACTTTTCCTCTTCATCTTTTGTTACCTGAGATGTAAGATTTTATACGTTTTTGTGGTGGAAATGAGCAACAAAATTTAACTTTTTGTTTCAATTTTTGTTTAAACTCATTTTCATACCATTCTATATATATGTTCTTAAGACATCAATGGGAGTATCTACATGAGTATTTAAGTATTAAAATAAACAAAAAAGAAATAAAAAGTTGAAGAGAGTAGTGTCTCTTTAAGTGGTTGATAGTTAATTTTTTTATTAAAATTTAAATATATAATCAAAATTGTATTAAAACATTAAAATTATATTGTGAAGAAATTTCTTGAGTTTCTAAACCATCGAGGATGCTCTTACTAGTTTGAACTTTAAACCGACTTGTTGTTGCCCATTTTTTTTTTTTTAACTTTTGTTGCCATTTTGTTATCTAACGTAAATACTCATTTAATATTTACTTGACCTCGAATTGTAGAAATGCGGAACTGACGCGTGCATGCGAGTAACAAATATCGCATTCAACTACACCTGCGAGTCATATACAGTATACAAAAATCATAAATGTATTTCTTACAACCATTTACTAAAAACATCATAAACGTTTTTAATTAGTGCGTCCAATTCATTAGAACTTAGAAGTGTTAGTTTTAAATAAAAAAAAACTTAGAAAGTATTATGTCAAAGTCAATTTTATTTGTATCTAAGAATCTTGCATAGTATGCTTTGTTTTTTTTTTTTTGTGAAAAGCTTTCTAATAGTATGCTTTGATTACTTGGTTTAGAAACTCTTATAAGATTAGTTTCTACCAGTCACTATTTAATGACACATCCAATATTTTTCTACACTTTTTGTTGTGACATACCCTACATTACTTTGCTACACTTGCAACATCTCTTTATAGAAAAAAAAATCGTTTTCGTATTATTGAAAACCCCTTTCACCAATTAATGACAATTTTGGCATACATACAAGGAAGACAAATTAACACTTGATTACTGAAAAAATTCACATGATCGTTACTTATTTCCGGACTTGAATATAAAAGGATTTTACAACAATTACCACATAAATCTGTTTTTAATTCTTATAAGTATGAAAATTTCGGTCCGAACTAAGATTAATCTCTAAAACTTGTAAAGTGTTGGATATATATTCTTGTCTTTTAAAACATTCACGATGACTAACCATGATTGAAACCGTAGTGAAGAAACTTAAGCCTTTGTCTTCTAAATCCAAGACGAATCTTTCAATCACTGTATCACAATAAATTGGTTTACCATATAAATCTCTTGCAAAGCTTATATCCAGACAAGAGGCTAGAGAGTGTCAAAACCAAAAATGCCGAGAAAGACATTGAAGCTGAAACTATGGAATTGTATTTCAGTGTTTTTATCTCATCGTCATTTGCATGTTGAATCCACACAATTGCCACTGAAGAAGATGATACCAGCAAATAACATATAACCTGATTATTAGGTTGCACATAAAAAAATAAAATAGTTAGCTCAACTATTCTAACGTAAATTATATATATGCATATAATTAATCATTTTATTTTTTTGAGAATTTTTTTCTAATCAATATTAATGTACGAAAACCTGGTCAAGAAAGAAGCTGATATAATCCGAGAGAGGCTCTGAGATGAAAACTCCTCTGTGAGTAATATCACAAATTCCTTTGAATGTTTGCAAACATGTATACACCAATCCTGTCACTGCTACACCAAAACAATACCTGCATACATTTTTTATTTTTATTTTAACATTCTAAGTACTTTTAAATTTAAAATAAGCATAGAAAACCATCCAACTTTTTTTTATTGGCATTATTTTCATCAAGGTTGTTCGCAGATTTTATCTTGGATTTATTTGCTAAATAGCCAAAAGTTTGGTCAAAATTAATCAAAATTTGATTTAAACGAATAGCGTGATATAATGTAAAAACCGCGTTATCGGATAAAATAACATGGTATTTATTAAAAATATGCGAAGATCATGTTATTTGGAAAAAAAAGTACTATAAATAAATCAATGTATCCGTTTTGATTTCATTTCATATCAAGTTTTAAGGTGTTTTATGCAAATTAGTAAACAAACTACACAAGCTTAGTTATTAGAGCATCTGCATTGGAGACATTTTATATGTGTCTTTAAATATAAAATTATTAAAAGTTGAGTAAAAGAAAGAAAGAGAGTGTTTTTNNTTNNNNTNNTGGGGTGTATTGAAATATAAAATTAATAAAATTTGAGTAAAGAGATGAGATAGTGGGTATTATTAGAGAGAGGATGTCTCGAGGAAGACAAAGTTGGAGAGAGAATGGATGAAAGTTGGAGTGTGTTTAAATATAAAATTAATAAAAGTTGAGTAAAANGATGAAAGANAANGTATAAAGTTGAGTAAAANGAANAGANAGTGTGTTTTTAATATTTTTTTATTTAGAGACATCCACATTTGGTCTCCAATGTAGATGGTCTTATTTATTTCTCTTTTGGCAGTAAACAAGAAAAATAAAAATAAAACTAATATGCATGTATAAAACAAAACATCATTTCTATACGAAATATATAAGTTATACAATAGAGTTTTTTTTTGGTAAACGATTATACAATAGAGTTGGCGACAAAACTTTGAAAATATAATTGAAAAAATGAAGAAGAAGAAGATAAGGTTCTTACAATAGTTCAGGATATGAAGCAAAACTCGAGGAGCTTGGTCTCCGTTGTCTCTGACTCTGTGAAGTCCGATGAACATTCACTGCCAACGAAAGAGCAGAGCCGAAACACATAACCAAACTTATAAACCGGAGAACCAAACCAGTAACATGTACCGACGGTCGCCGTGAGCTGAATCTTGACGTTGACGTCGTGACGGAATAAGCAAACGGTGACGGCGTTAGAACTGACGGCGTCTGATGAGAGATAGGCGACGCCGTTACTGAACCTTGTTGTGGTGGTCCGTAGCTGATCACCACTACGTGATCTTTATGGTCTTTCATCAATATTTCAAGTGTAATGATCCCAAAAATAATTGATGAACTTGACTGATTTTTTCTTTTCTTTTGAGATAGTAGAGTATAAAGATTTGATAGGTGGTGGTTGCTTTAGAATTAAATATTTACGTGAAAGTTTCAGCGAAAGTTCGTTAGAATCTTATATCTTTTCTAATTCCATGTTAAAATCTTTTTTTATAGTTGTGTGACCAAATATTTCTTAATAGTATTAGTTTGCTTGACTACTTCTCTATAGCAAAATAAAGTCTACTTGTAATAGAAAAACTCTAATACCTTTTCTTCGTCCTCACTTGTATTCTTTTCAAAATAACGTATCACTATTTTTCGGATTTGTGTTCGGATAACTTTGAATATTTCAAATTTTTCTAGTTATTACATATATTAATCTAGGTTTGGATACATATCGGATAATCCAAGTCGAATATAGATGTATGGATAAGATTTAATGAAACATAAAAATACTATATCGAAGACATAATAAACGATTATTATTATGNGCTAAATCTCGATGTTGACAATGTTAGAATAGACATAAGAAATAGCAAGGTTACGTCGTCTGTGAACACTCTAATGCTCTATGGACGAGCACCTTTATGTATCTCTATGCTGATCTTTCATATAAAAAAAAACAGATAATTGAAGAGATTGATTAATTTATATGATTTTTTTCTCCGAGGCTTATTAAAGACTTGATGTGGGTACTGCTTTTGCATTAGAGATTTTCATGAAATTTCAGCGAAAGTATGTCAAATTTCTTTGTCTTTTGTCCAAATTCTTATTGTATTGCTGTATGACCATTTTCTCAATAATTCTTGACTAGATTTCTCTCGCAAAATAAGTCTACTTAGAGTACAATATACGAGCTCTTGGTGTGGTGGATGCTCTCAAACTTCCAAGTCATCAAAGGTCATGAAAAAGGTGTCTACTTGTAAGTTTTGCAATTGCTCTATCCTTTGTATAATAATTGAAAAACATTTTTAAAAACTAAAGTTTTATTTTGTAAAATATTATTGTTCGTAACATGATAATTAAGGTATCGGTTTTATCTAAAATATTTATGTGTCACCGTGATAATAATTCAAACGTTTTTTTTTTGTAAATTAATGGTTTTTGTAACATTTTTGTTAAAAAGAACGTGAACTACTCAAAATCCCAGTTTTAAAAGTAACATATATTTCAAATTTGAAAAAAAAAACGTAACACCAACTTTCTAAACTGAAACAAAAACCTTAACACCAAAATTTGGTTTAATATTAAAGAAACAAAATCTGAAACTGATATACTCAACCAAAAAAACCAGCTTTGTATTAAAACCTAGTGAAACTATAACTTACCATCTCTTGCACTATATATAAGAACTGGCTTTTCCAATCTTTGGACAAGAAAAACAAAAACAATCCAAAAAAGCACAATCATGATGATGAAAACAAAAGAGTTTATGTTTGTGACAGTATTGATTGTAATGTGTGTGTTTATAAGTAGCATCGATGCGAAAAAAAAATATATACATTATGGAGATTTAATCGGAAATGAGAGGTGTAATCCAAGATTTCCAACGAAGGAATGTTATTTGCCCATACAAGCAAATCCATATAGACGAGGATGTTCCGAGATAACTAGATGTCGCCGTAATCCTGGTCTTACTACATTTTCACTTCCTTCGTTGAAGAAATTTTTGGATACCGTTCTCCAAGAATAATGTAACACACGATCGATGATAACTATTATAAAAAAAATGATGGATAAAGTTCTTAAGTACTTTTTATTTTTTGGTTTACATTAATTCCTCTATTACTCCAAAAAAAAACCAAAACAAAAAAACAGTCATTTACTTACAATCCTTCCTTTTTGTAACCTCAAACATTGAACTTAACACTTATGAAAAAAGTATCTGGCAAAGATGAAAGCTAATTCAATTAGTATAATGTTGATAAAAGTTTTTTTTTTTGGGGCACAATATTTCTGAAAATAGTGTTACACTATTTAGACGAATCATATGATATAATTTCAAAGTCCGGGGGCCCAAATTTTGGTTACCTGACTTAACCCGTTTCATTACCCAATTTTTTTCTCCCTCAAAATACTTCTAATATTAGTTTTCAATACTCAAATTACCGCTTTCTGATTTTTATATGTTAATTTCCGTCTCAATATCCAAATATACACTCCTACTTTCTACTTTCTAC